GAAGCCTATGCATCAATTTGCACTCGGTAATTCACGATATCTATCTACTATATAACCTATAATTAGGTATATTATATAAACTATGTTTAAATAGACACTAAAGTTAATATATATAATACTAATAATATATAAACTAAAAAGTGGTTTACCTTTATAGAATATATAGTATAGTAAACCCTATTTAGGTTTACTTCTTGTACTTAAACTACTTTATAGTCTACTTTAGATAAATATGGCTACTGTAAACCAGTTTTGTACTGTAGTGTTCGTTATTGTTGCTGCCCTATGTTGTTCGATCCGAGGTGTTCTAGCCGCTAGCGGGGTGAAACTTTTCGGTATTCATCAATGGAGTAGGAATATACGATGTTCAACACCACATGCCGCAACCTAAGCACAGTGCGAAAAGATAGGATCCGATTCTAATCGAGACGGTTGCATATTTAACTCTCTTTTAATTTGATGTCTGCTTCATCCTCCAGCACCAGCAAACTTCTCTTTGTTCTGTAGCTTGCTAGCTGCAAGTGCGCACCACATGAGTTTCCAAGATATTCGCAGCGGCAACCAGACTGATTCATCAACTTTGTATAAATTACACAGTGGTAGACACGGTGGGTTGTTGATATCATACCTGTATCCTTGTGAGCTGCGAATTACAACATTTCATTGATGAATGCTGTCAAAGATATATGTTCATACCATAATTAGCTGTGGAGTATACATTGGAAGACTACTATGTGTCTGTTGACTGCAAGAGTGGGAAAATAGACACTCGCAATGCACTGAAGGATATCAGATAATAAGGATGACGTGTATCCATAGTTATGGAACCATCCCGTAGTGGGACATACACGCAAGAGCGATTCACGTTTCTAATCGAGGTGTTGAATGATTCACCACTACCCATTGCTCATGGGATGTATCTACCAGATATGGTATGATAACTACAAATAAACAAGGTGCCGAATCAGCAATCTAGAGGCTTACCCTTAGGGTATACACTCTCACAAACTGGTAAAGTCAGGTAGCATGACAACGTGTATGACTGACAGGGAGCAGATAAGATGACAGAACTTCGGGAAATGAGAAACTTTTGTAAGAAAATTTTGAGGATAATTGAACTAGGAGCGAACATGGCTAGGAAATCTAATGCAACTACACATAGAGACTAACAAAACCCTAAGTACATAAAGAAATCCGGCCTCCGCTCCACAGGAAGCATTTGCCCCATAAGGAAGAAACCTCATTCCAAACTGTCTTTACCCATTATTCGATGTCCTCGCGAAGTTTTCCAATTCTTTGACCAAGTCTTCTACTTTGATACGCGTTTCATCATTGACATCTAGCATCTTCTCCAGTATCTCAACAAAGGATTTCCATGTTGGATACTTTGTCTTGATTGAAGTCATATTTTCTGCTACGGTGGACAGTAGAACGGTTCCCGACTCTTCTGCGAGGAAGAAATGTGTCGATCCCGCACCTCGAACTACTAGTTCCTTCTTATTATTGGTTTCATCGATCGCTTGCTGTATGAAATCTTTATAGATTTTCAGCCCATCCTTGAACCAGATCAAGACTCTTAATAAAACGCAGTCAAGAGACCATATGTCATGAGGGTACGACGTTGCACCATAGAGCCGCTCTGGAGGATAATAGAATTCATCGCCTCGACGTTCTGAGGTCTTCGACAATGAACCACTACCCCAGTCTGAGATTTTGAAAATTGTTCCTTCCTTTTCCCCAAAAACAAGGATGTTCGAGAGCTTGAGATTATGATGGAGTATTTTCGTCTTCGCCTTGGGATTTTGAACTACATCAAGCGCCTGCGCAAGGCCCTTGAATTGTTCCTTGAGCCAACTATCTTCTACCCCCATTCCTATTTTGCCATGTTCCAAGTATTCCATGAATCTCAACACGTCTTGCCTAGCAAATTCGCTAATAATGTGATTGGGACTAAGGTAACAGAATCCAGAGTAGAATTTAGCAAGGTTTTTGCAAGAGTTTACAGTATGACGCATTCGTTTTTGAAGGTATCAAGGTCTTTCTCTGATGGATTATCCTGAGGACAGTTCATAGCGAGCCGTGGGCTGAGCTTTTGCTCTTTTGAAACACCCTGGAAGTTGTGAGCCTTAGAGTGGATCTGGAGTGTGTAAATGATGCTCGTGGTTCCATTAGTCTTGTTGTCTTCTTTAAAAGCAATGGGATTGTTTGGTTCTTTAGGGATGTAACAGTGAAATTTATTCTCTATCAGAACTGGACTCTCCGAGTCAGCTTCCTCTGGTTTCTCGGGACTGCTCATGACAAGCAAGTAGCCTGTAAAGAATTCGATAAAAGAGGAAATGAGTGAGAAGAAACGGCTTCTGCACTGCGACATCTAAAATAGGAAATTAATACTACAGGTCTAAGTTACGTGGGCTTTTGTATATGACAAAAAGTTGTAAGAAAACATTTCACGGCTGTCAACTAAAGCATGACACGAGCACAAATTCCAAATGACTGCGTGAAAGCGAGCCATTCTGAGGCGCGTGAAGACAACAATTAGATAACACCGTGGAGCCATGATAGCATTCAGTACAAACTGGTGTCCGCATGACCAAGGCAAGCGTAGGGGATGCGCGCATATGACCTGGTGTATCTGTCGATATTGTGAAGGTAGATTGAATGCTTGTCAAATAGAAAAGGAGACGGAGAAATAGCTGATAGAGTATGGGTTCAGACTATCTTTGCGTATAGGTAACAGCGTAAGGTAGCGTGTGCGAAGAGGTGAGATTAGGACCTGAGAGAATCAGATTTGAAAAATAAGTTCACGAAGAGAGATAAACTCGAAAATTAGCAAGAACATAGTAACGATGGCCATCTCTCACTAAGACTAGCGCTATATGTGTTGTCTAAATCTCATCTACTTAGCACTGGCCCAACGTCCTCCTCCCATACATACATGGCCCATATTAATCCTAGAAGTCACCTAGGTTGTCCGGAGTATTATTGGCTCATGAGATCTATTGTACTCTATTCTTTTCACAACATCTGTAAGTTATTTACCGGCGTAGCCGTCTTGAGCGGTATCGCTGGATCAATGTCTATCAGGCCGCGCACATCATGGTTACAAGTCCACGCAATGTTGGGTATGTGGGCGACATATGATCCGAAGTCCCTGACGCCATCGTTATCAGGCATAATGGTGTCCTGGGGTCAAACTATAACCCGTGAACATTTTCATTTCGACGCTGGAGTTAACAATTTCCAGGTACATCTGTGTTCTGGGTATTCTATGAAAGATTTGTCGGCCAGGAGACCATATGGTGTGCGGGCACGATGTAAATTTCCAACGTCATAACGGAAGTGCCCGGTGGGCGAATACTTGTGAAAGTGCTAAGGACTGTATATGTACGAAAATAAGATATAAACTTTTGCTATTGCACAAATCGTGTTGGTGGGTTCATCGACGAGGTTCACCACATCCACAAATGCACTTGCGGTCACATGTGCATCAAACTATGCCTCCTTGAGAGGACTACAGCATTCTCTGGAGTTGCTTGTTGATAGCAATATACGTATGAGAAGGTAACAAATGTCGACACAAACCAGTAAGAATCTGACGAGAAATAGTATCGTCATATCAGCAAGTATGACAAGGCACAGAAAGAAGAATTCCACGTAATTAAACTCAGCAGGGAAGCCTGGGAATCTTCCTGGGCGATTTGAGCGCGTTTAGGTAGCCTTGGAGCTTCTCTTTCTGATCATCTCGCTTGGTAACGATTGCCTGATGCAGTCTGCGCGAGTTGGCCCATGTATACCAGAGCGTGATAGTAAAGAGTGTCAGAGGAACTGAGATGGCAAAGAATGGCGACGCATTCTGCGCATATACGAGATTGTAGCCAGAGTCTACCTGAATTTGATCGACAAACTGAGTTGAGTAGAAGCTCTGCACGTAATGTTAGTATTATGAGTAAGAGAATTTAATTTCGTTCACCTACTGATACGGCTGTGCATGGAAGATAGACCAAGGTCCTGGTTATTCATTGGCTCGAATGGGCAAGTGGTGCATTGTCC